GGATATAGCCTTGTTGGTCTCCATGTTGTCACACACGATTGCAATGAGATTATTTGCTTCCAACTTGTACTGATTTAGAACCATATCAAGAAATCGGATGTGTTCGTCTGCAGTCATGCTTTTTTCGTCGCCAAATGAAGACAATGTGAGGAAACGGATACCTTTTTGTGTTGCAGCGAAAACTGCCAGCGAGTGTTCGCATCCATCTGTAACGCCGTCGAATACCAAGGCGAACTTTTCTCCTTTGAACTCTTCTTGTAGACATGGTTCAACGAGCTCCACGGTTGCGCCCATTCGAGCCTTTAAAGTTCTTGAATTCATGCTGTTGTACTTTATCGCCGATCTCACAACGCCATCATCTACAGCCATGAACGGGAAGTTTTTGTTTACAACAAGATTCATCCACTGGTGAGTCGACAGGGCGTCCTGGTCCACGAACATGTCCATTGTAACGCTCCGCTTGTCACGCATGCATTGCCGAACAACGTCTTCGTAGCCGGAGTGTTTTGACGCTAGGTGGTTTATCAAATTGGTGTATCCAGCTGTCTTGACCTGTCTAATGAAGAGGTTGCAAGCTTTACATGTCTGTCCACGAGGCTCTGGATCTCTGAACATCATCTCCACGATCACCTTGGACTTCAGTTTCGGGCCTTGAGACGTGATTGACATCGACATGCTGGCTAACTTTGAAGCTCGGTAGAGGTATTGGATGAGGTGGGTGGATTGGAGAATGAAATCGAAGTCTCTTTCCTGCCTACTCAGAACACGAAGGCTGAGGTTAGTTTTAGTACTGTACTATGTTCAGCCCCGTGGTAGCTTCAACATAACGATGTACAATTTTATCTGGGAATTGCAATTGTTTGAGTGGAATATTGTAATTGTAACAATATTGATTGTGCGGAGGTTCGCCCCAGCAATCCATATACAATTTATATTGTCGGAGGCCTGCAAACAAACTCCACGATCCACGTCTGCGACTCCAGGCGGTGCTAGATTTACAGTACGTCCCGAGCGCAACGATACCGACGCTCAAAAGGAAGAAGAGAATCCAAACCGCTCATCGTTCAGCAACCGTCTAGGGGGTTCTGACCTACGCTTTCTACGTGACAACTATGAAGCGATGGGCGACGTCTACGCTAATAGAGGGAGCAAGAAAGCCGTACCAACGAATAACTCCGCAATAACACCGACGTACACGGCTTCAAAACGTATCAGCGCAAAGAAGAGTATGCAGTCGCTCGTGGACGATCTGGCAGCAGTAACGGATGTTCAAGCCAAAGGCGACGGAGGAATGGCAAGGCTGCTCGTATTTTTCCGCCAAGATGCGGACCGCAGAGCTGAGGCAGACGCCAAGAGACGCCATGAGGATCGCGAAGAGCGTGACGCCGCTGAGCGGCGTGAAAGAGAGGTCCGGGACCGCGAGAGACGAGAGGAGGCCAAAGCAGCAGAAGAACGACACCAACAAGAACGAAAGGAAGATCGAGAGCGACGAGAAGAAGACGCGAAGCGTGAGGCAGCGTTGCGAGCAGAACGCGAGCGGGAACGCGCAGAGGAGCGTCGCCAACAAGACCAGCAGATGCAACTCGAACGCGAGGAACTACGACAAAGACACGAGCAAATGATGCTTATGCTGCAAGCTCTCGCGAAGAGCAACAACGCCAAGTAGAGAAAACGTTCGTTGTAGAAGTGAGTAGTACATTTATTTCATTAGTGTACAGCTAAGTCATCTCCTCCGTACAGATGTGTTGTTCGAATCTGGCTAATACCAACGGTCCTAACGCGATAGTTGCTAAGCCGAAACAAATTGTCGAGCCTTTGTTGTCGTTTAGCCACATCCGCGGGCAGTTCGTGCAGCAAGCGCCCGTATACCTTCTCGATGGACCCCATGCCCCATTCAGCAGACTGGCGTATGAAGGTGATCGCCCCGGAGAGCGCCTTCGCAACAGGTCGGACAGCGGGGAGCAATCTTGACAAATCCCCTCTTTAAGAGGCGTGAGAATTCTGCCTTGCATATCACCAGCGCATGAAAACGCGCTATCTGCGACGAACCCATACCTTAGGTCAGGATTCAGAGTTGGATCCACCAACTTTCGCTGGAAACCGAGGCTAGTGTCCCCGTCATTCCAGCTGCCGGGGCGAATTGTGTTTGGTCCACACAATTAGCCCAGTGTCCCTGTTACGAACACGTGATGTAGCCATCCATTGTAATGTGCATTTTGAATGTCCTTGTCAGGAGGTTGTTGGATCTAAAGCAGGAACGCATGCATTAGTACTAAGCATAAGACGAAACGACAGCAGATACTTACCTGTTAGGTTTTACCATCCAAAAAAACCCAGGTATACTTAAGGAGGGGTTGCCGAGCCTCGACCAGCCTTGCAAGAGCCTTTTGACGAACCAAAGTTGGCCACACATTCCGAGCAGGGCTAAAACCTCGAAGTGCCTGTGCTAGGGCTGCCTCAGCCTCATTTAAAATTCTACTAAGCGTTGCCGGAGGAATCCCGAACGCTAGACACAAGAGAGTATAGTTCATAGACCCCTCGTAAAACGCCAACACCAAACCAAGCACCTGGTGGTAGTGTTGGAGCTTGCGGGGACGTCCACCCGCACGGTTGTATGCTGGAATCTTGTAGAACAGGGCGAAGCGGCCGAGTAGCTGCTCGAATGACGCCCTTGAAAGACATTAATAGCGTAAGTTAAACGAATAAAGCTTTACAGTTCATCCGTACCTAGACAAACTGGTCGTGTTAATAAGGTTCTCTTCGAGCCCGTTGTTCCAGATAACCATCCAGTCCGAGCACTCCGGATCCTTCAAGCAGTCCCGAGTAAGGTAGTATCTAGTACGAACAAGGCGCTTCCACTCCAAGCGTAGGATCTCAGCGGAGATCCGCTTGCGCAACTCGTCCAGCTTACAAGCGAGCAGGTATCGCTTTCGCAGCGTCTTACACAGCACGAACATCACTATCTCGTCCTCCATCGTAGCTTTTCTTGTTAAGATTGCAGGAAAGGGGGTTCGCAGAATTCGTGCACCTGCATATCCAAAAAAATAGGGATTTAAGGAGGAAAATTTGTCCAGTATGGCCGTGTCCCACCCAGTTCGTCATAGTGAATAGAAGTGGTTTGACCCCTATGCGTCATATAATTACGGACGGATTTTTTTTTGAGTGAGGTTGTGGTTGTAAGTTTCATCCGATTTGCATTTGATCAGTCACCATCTTGATAAAAGGGTGATAAAAGGGTGCATACAACTTTTTCGATAAAACTGTTTTATGTAGGTTTTGGAAGGCACCCACTGGATAATACATGATGCATCAGATTTCTGAGTATATTTTTGTTCTGGGAAACCTGGACGCTAAGCTCGTCCTTTTTTATTTTCGCCACACTTCGAGTCCAGGTACTGCCTAACAGGTATCAAGCAGGTATGAGTCCAGGTACTGACCAGGTTCTTAAATTACCAGTTTATTTCGTAATCTATCTTGAAAAATTCTGAAAGCCACTCATTTCGGTTGGAACGCGACACGCGGCAGTCCGAGCGCGTCCAGATCTTGCTTCGTTAAAGAACACCGGGAAGACGACAGCATGGCACGGACGCACAAGACGGCGCTGATTAAGCAGCAAATGACAGACCGTGAGGCGGCGAGAACTGCAGAAAACAATCACGTCGAAGCCGAGGAAGCGACTGCCTCGGCAGAGGAAAACAATGACGGCGGAGGTGAGGGAACGACTGCCTCGGCTGAGGCAGCTCACCGTGTAGCCGTGCATTACGCTCGCACTAGGTCGGAGAAGGCCGACGCTATCCAGAAAGCTGAGGACGCCCGTACCGGAACGCTTCCGGTAGATGCCAGCGCACTGGAAGAAAAGGCACCAGCTACGAGTGCGACAGTTGATACCAGTGAGGCCAGTGAGGGAGTGGAGGAAGAAGAAGAAGAGAGCAGTGGAGGCACATACGATGCTGGTGCCGATTCGGAGTCTGACGGGGGAAGCAGTAGTTCCGTGGGCCACAAGAGAAAGGAACGCCCAACTATAGACGTCGACGATGACATGTTGACATCTGTACCACCCTTCACAGACAGACATAAGACTTGGGCAGAGTTTACGCAGGCCTTTGACACGTACAAGTCAGCGACAAACCAAGTTCTCGTGGTGAAAGAGGTACTGAATGTCGCTAGACGTAACAAGTCTCTACGGAATCAAGTCCAATACCAACGATTACCTGATGATGAGATCCCGTTACTCCCGACAGCGTTGGATCCGTACCAGCGGAAGTACATATGTACTCATGGATGGCCAGCTCGTGAACGCTCGTCCGGTAAACGGACGTCTCACCACGTCCGTCGGACAAATTGTCCCTTTCAGCTGATTGCCCAGTGGACACAGTCGCCGGATGGATCGTGGGTGATCGTGCCCAAGCGTGCGGTGTACGCGCACAACCACTAGGTAACACCAGGTATCTATCAACAATACCCAGGTATTCGGCAGGTACCAAGTCAATCTCCTTTGGTGCCAGGCGTTCGACTTTTAATGCAAGCGAAAGCAGGCCCATCCAGTATTTACGAGTACATCCGCGAGAACTCGGACCATCACGTTACGATGCAGGACGTTCGCAACCTGATTGCTCGACTACGGGACTCTGGTGAGTTGCATACTATACAGTGCTGTTGCGAACAACCTAAACTCACGTTTGTTTATTGATACCCCAGGTGCAGCGCTATCAGATGACGACGCAGTTGCCAAGACGATTGTTAATTTCAACGTGGAGTCTCCGATGAACGTGTCCTCTGTACATCAGAGTGCTCATGGCAACACTGGCGTAATATCGGTTACAACGGCCCATATGCGTGCAATGGTGGAGAGTTTCCCCGAAGTACTACAAATGGACTGCACTCACAAGACCAACAAGTGAGTAAATGTAACCAGGTATTTTTCAGGTATTATACATGTATTAACACTAAACTTCTGTTTCAGATACAACTATCAGCTCTTATCCATCGTGGCGATGGATCAGTACGGTTGTGGGCAACCTGTCCAGTACTCGTTATTGGAGACAAACTCGGACAGGCATATGTCGAAGTGTCTGGATCATTTCAAGCGAGCGAACGAGCAGTGGCGGTTGGTGCGGATTGTTATCGTGGATAAGGACATGAAGGAAGTGGAGGTTATTCGGCAGAAGTTGCCTGAGGCCCGCGTCCTGCTATGCCATTTCCATGTCATCAAGTGGCTGCAGGAAACCATTCGCAAGTCCAGCAAATACGGGGCGTTCGAGGGTGATGTATTAAGTCAGCTGAAGCACACAATTACAAACATGACCTACGCTCGGTCCGAAGAAGAGTACGAAGTCCATCGCACGGAGTTCAAAAGTTTGTCGCTAAGAGGTGGAAGGCGGGAATTGTGGGACTACTTTGAGAAGAACTGGGATAAATACAAAGAAATGTGGGTGATGACATACCGGAAGGACTTGCCTCACTTCAATAATCACACGAACAACCGTGTGGAAAGCCTATTCAGCAAAGTGAAGCAGCACCTGAAGGACCATCACACAATGAACGCAAGTTTGAGGGCTCTCCTGTCTTTCCAGCGGCGAAAAGAGGAGGCATACTACGCAAAAGTCGAAATGCCTGGGACATTGAGAGATACTACGTACTCGGAGGAGATGAACATCGTGCTCGGTATGACGACTCGATGGGTGGCAGCCGCGATTAGCTCCCAGTACGACATTGCCTTAGACCCCGAGTTTGCAAGCTCGTATACTCAAGTGGACAACGGAGCGACAGTCACTTTCCGTATGGAAGCCCACGAGTACTTACTTCTGAAAGAGACATTCAAGTGTGACTGTGAGTTCTCACAGACCATGCAGCTTCCGTGCAGACACGCGATAATGTGGAGGAAAACCAGTGGGAGTCCATTCGTCATTCCGTTTTCTGCTATCGGATCCAGGTATGTCAGGTATTCTCCAGGTTTTACCAGGTATAATCTGACTAATATCCAGTTATTGACCATGTTTCGCTATAGGTGGTATGGCCGGAATCGTATATCTATACAGGGATTATCAGAGGTGGCAAAGCCTTTTGTTGCTAAGGTTTTCAAGCAAGACACTGCAGTGACTGCCCGGGACCAAACCGAACAAGAGTAATATCGTCGTGCTCAGCAAGCTTTCGGGCGGATAAGTGGGGAGCTTGCTCAGTTCAACGATGCTGCCTTCAATGAAGCAATTACTAAATTTGAGCGGTGGTGGCAAAATCTTCGCCAAGGTCAGACTTCAATGGCTCTCCAGGAGCAGACACACAGTTGTAACCACGATGGTTCTAAGGATAGTATTGACGCCAGCACTGACGAAAAGGATAGTATTGACGCCAGCACTGACGAAAAGACTGACGGCGCAAAAGACACTTCTGGTACTATTTGCGGTGGGGGATCACCAACTTCTGAGGAGTCAGAAAATGTACCATTAACCCAGAAAACTGTGGTGGAGACTGAGCAACCAGCAAGTGGAGCCGAGCTACCAGTTGAGATCAAACTTAACAGCAGAGTTATTCCGGTTGGGCGCCCCAGACTGAATCGTAAGGAGCAGCGAGCCAAGGCAGATTTGAAGGAATACAACCAAGGAATGAAACTGCGGGGCCTGCTTCGCGATCGAGACGTGTGCGAAGTGGTTAGTACTTTGAAAGAGATCCAGCCGGGCATCCGAGAGGTGGGAGCCTTCTTTGCGACTTTTCAAGTACTCGGTAAGGCCACGGCAAAGCAGTCGATGGCGTGGCGGCCCAACGCGAACTACGTAGCGGACAATGTCCGCTATCGACTGCCTGAACAAACGGTAGACCGCGCACTTGACTTACTGCGCAAGTTATTGTGCGGAAAGATGGAAGAAATCCAGTTGGATAGCGAGGGAGAAGAGATCAGTGATGCAAACGGGTACGTGTTGGTCATCGAAAAGATTGGCACCTATACAAGAGAGCAGGTGAGGCAGATGAAGTGGTTGTGGAATCTACAAGATACCTGTCGTCGTGGTGTGCTTCTCTGCACTTGGCTAAACAATGAAGTGAAGAGTCTGGTGAATGAACCCGTGGATGTTTCTGTGGCTTTCGACGATTTATTGAAAACCTGGCCATACCTGCCCATACCTGGGTTTGGATTTGACGTCGCCGAAGCAGATCTTTTCTGCGTTCGAGGCAATACGTGGTTGAATGACGCCACGATGCGTGCATTCTGTGTATTTTTGGATACGTACAAAAACAACACGACCGTGACAATTCCTCCGGTGAAGAAGCAGGCGCTGAAGAAGCCGGTCAAGGCAGAACCTATTCTCGCGGATCAGCAGCTACAGCAAATTCACAGTGGCTTGACTTCTCGACAGTACTTGTTGATGCCTATCAACTTGAGTGGTGCTCATTGGGTGTGTTTGGTGATCGACGGTATCTCTAAGAAGATTGAATTGTACGACAGTATGGGCTCCGCCATGTACCTGAAACGCTTAAAGGACATCGCGGATGAGATTGTTGCGGCACTTCCAGATGCGTACGAAGAGATCACTGTCAATGGGCTCCTACAGCATGATGGCGACAGCTGCGGTGTGCTTGTGTGTCTTCAGCTGTGGAAGTGCGCATCAGCCGAGGCGCCAAGTGACGTGACTAAGTCTGGCATTACCAAGCTGCGTTGGAAGATTTTGCAAGGGATTTTGAAGGTGAAACGCCGCTTGTAGTTGAGGTTGAAGAACTAGGCAATAATACCTGACGTTTACCTGAAAAATACCTGTATCTTTATGCAGCCTATCATAGGCCCTATGATCATTCCAGCAGTAATGTCGGATACCGACAAAACATGGCTTTCTTCACTTTGGCATTTGCCCAAGTAGCGCACATATGACTTTTCCAGGTATTTGGCATCCAATACCTACGTAATATTTGGATGGTAATTTATCATGACAAGTATAAAAACACTGGACTAAACATGTGAAATACCTGAATCTGAGTAGACCTATCCCTATTTCCATGTCTGGGAAACCTGGACTCTAACGCCTGCCTTTTATTTTACTACTATTCTGGGAGATATCATTTTCAGCCAATCAATTACAATATAAACTACTACTATAATACAGTAGTACTATACTGTAATAGTAGTACTACATGTATCCTGAAGCTTTCTTTTCAGCCAATCACATGTCCAAGTAAGCCATGAGCGTACACTTGCACGTGGGGCAATGTGGCAATCAGCTAGGCGCCGCGTACTGGCGCTTGGCCACTGCTTCGGGCGAAATTCACGACGATAAGCGTAGTCAAGGTGACACTGGAGTATCTCGGCACCTTCGTCGCGCCTCTGGAGGCTCCACATCTACTTTAAACGGCTCCAAGAAGGCTGTATCATTGCCCAGGCCACTGTTTCATCCGTCGACTGGAGCTGCACGCTGTATTCTTGTGGACTCAGAGCCTAAAGTCGTTCGATCTTTCATGCAAGAGACCACTGATGGTGCTACCGCTTTCGAACCCGCTCATACACACGTAGAGCAGACAGGACGAGGCAACAATTGGGCAATGGGATACTATGGACCGAGGTTGAAGTCCCCAGCTCCAACCTTCACATCGTTGGCTGTAGATGACCGCAGAGAGCTGGTGGAGCTAGTCATGGACTCATTACAACGTGAAATAGAGCGCGTGGACTGCTATCAAGGCAGCGTAGTAATGCATTCTCTTGGTGGAGGAACAGGATCGGGACTGGGCTGTCGAGTGCTGGAAAGCATGAGGGATACGTATCCGAAGGCTTATATTTTGACTACATCAGTGGCACCGTCTTGTACTAGTGGAGATACGCCACTTCAAAACTATAACGCCATATTGACCCTAAAGTGTCTGCAAGACGTTGCAGATGCTGTAATTTACAAGGACAATGACGAGTTGTTACGAACAGCAAGTTACTGGAAAGCGGTGGTGCATGAAAGAGTGGGAACTGATAACTATCAGAGGGTGTCTCTGGAGGAAGTGAACAGTATGGCTGCGGCAGATCTGGCAGGACTGCTGTTCCCAGTAGCAACAGGAGATGCTAGCACTGTTCGACGGTTCAATTTCGGCAAGTTGTTGCACGATGTATGCCCCATGCCTGCGGCCAAGATGCTTGAGGTCCGTTCCGGCGTATGGAGAGATCGTATCGGATCAGGTACACGCAGCAAATTTCCTCCCAAGCCATCAGTAGCTAAAACAGTCTCCTCATCGACCTTGTTTCATGCTCCGGTGGTCGCACAGTCGCGTATGCTGTCGCGTCGACATGAGCATGTTGCAGACTTCGACGCGTCACTAGGTATGCTCGAGAAGCTTGTGCAGCAGACAACAGCATCTTTCCCACGAAATTCAAGGACAACCATAGCGTCAAGTACAGTAATCCGTGGCTTCAACCCAGTGGCATATGAAGCGGATCGCTTTACTGAAAAGCTTGGCAAGGTCGTGCAGACTGCATTTCCTCCTGTGCCATGGTTAGCAAACATGCCGCAAGTCACGTTATCTTACTCAAAGCCTGCACCATTTTCATCATTGCAAGTACAGGCGTCTGTAACGATCTGCGTGAATAATGGTCACTTCTTGACGAGTACGAAACGATTTTTAGAGCGAGCTCAGCGCCAATTCCAGGCGGGCGCCTATGTCCACTGGTACAAACAACATGGTATGGAGGATGCTGACTTTGAGACTGCGTTCGATAAATGCACCACGCTCATAAATGAATACGAAACCTTCCTGCGGTGACTTGAGAGAAACTAGTACATATATGGAGACTTCCGACGTCGAGTATTATCGTTGCAAAATTCTTCTCAGATGTTGGATCTCGGAAGCTAGAGAGCGAATTCGTTCCTTTGTGTGAAGCCATCGCTTTGTGTGAATGGCGTGCTGTTCCTCCATTACACGGACATTCGGCATTAGTCGTGGGTTGGACTCGGCTTCTTCACGTATTGCATCAAGTTGCTGCTGAGAAGCCTTCCACTCCCTTTTCCGCTGACTTAGAGCCAATAATCGCCGCTCCAAGATGTCTAATTGTCTTGCTGTCGTATTCGACAAAACTGGGTCACCATCGCTTTCCAGAGATGGCATTACTGGGGTTGGATGAGATGAACATTCACGTGTTGTGTGCTCTATCATAGTCACCTGATGAGAACTGGCTGGCGTGCTCCTCGACGGCGAGTTTAAAAGAGCAAATAGTTCAACAGGAAACTCAAGGCCACATCGAACGACTTCGTTTGTGTTTGCGTTCTCGATGACTCGTGGCAAGTTTTCAGTCTCTGTAGACAACAAAATCTCGATGGGTCTTCGAGGCTGCGGTCTGTTCCTCGGAAGCATTACGAACTCTGATAACGGAGATCTATCGTTCGTCCAGTTCGATCTCCCAGTATTATCTGAAGCCACATTTGCTTGTCTGAATGTGTTCTCATTCCACTGAGGCGCTGAGGGCTTCTCGTATTGTGTGCGTTCTTTTTGTTGGTGTTTAGGTTGCCAGTGTAAGTCTTCTTGAACTCGTCGTGGTGCACTTCTAGACGTTCCTAAGGTTTGTCCCTTTGCCTTCTCAGCTCGACGCCGAATGGCAAGGTAACGCCAGTGTCGAGCGATCGCTGCAACTCTGCGCCAAGCATGCGTCGTGTTGCTTGCTTGAGTACGCTCTACTTGCTGTTCACGCTGTTCTTGTAAATACAGTGCGGCTGTCATCCAATGGCGCAAACCTTCACGCACAAACTGCTCGTGACGAAACTCAAGAGCTTCATGAATACGATGCTGCTTCATCCTCTTGAACTGTAAATATTGCTTCCATCCATCGAACACTTTGCGTTGCAACGTTAATTTCCAATGCACTAGAGCCTTGCGCGTCTTATTGCGGTAGCAGTGACGCAATGCTACATTTTGTCGCCACCGTTCAAGACATTTTCTCCAAATTACAGACTTGTAGTGTTGCTCCGCTCGTGCTTGTGTAATTTGCTGCCACCGCAGAACAGAAACATACGTTATCCATTGTGATAAATATTTCTGTAGCGTTCGACGCTGTGCTTGGCCCCGGACTTGGGCATTTACGACCCTTCTCGCAGCTTTCGCCCGTGAAAACTCCGACCAGTTCTCCAGGATTTTAGACTTTGTAACTCGTTCTTTTTCAGCCACGCATTGTTGCATCATTTCGTCTAAAACGTGATCACGATAGCGCTCAGCTTGCCACAAGTTTTTCCATACAAAAAAGCTTCGTTTTACAGCCTGAGTGTAGCTGTGTTCCTGTGCAACTTGTATCTTTTTCTTCTTCTCTAATGTTCTCGAGTAAAAGCGCTGAAATCCGCTTAACCAAACGTGCTTTAACAGTCGAGATTCATAATGGTGTCTAGCACGTTCAGACTTGTGTGCTTGCAGCTTCCTATCGCTCGTAAAGTGATCCCAGCGTGAGAAAGCCAACGCCATCATTCTGAAATCGGCTGCGTCGTGCATTGTATCCACTCGGTTTAATGCACGTTGTCGCTCAGTGTGCCACGCTCGAAATCCATAAAATCCTTTCCGTAGAAGCGATAAATAGCAGTGACGCACTGCACGACGTCTTTGTCGCTCCCGCAATTCCTTTTCTCGCGTTCGAGCACTCCAAGCATTCCATATTCGCCGCAATGTTCGCTCTTGATAACGACGCTGAAAAGATTCCACTTGAACAAGCTGATGCACCTTGTTTTTCCACGTTTTCCACACTCTTTCACAAAGTTTTCGGTACAAATGACAGTCAAGAATATGCACAAGCGCCTGCTGTGCTCGATTTCGTGTGTGTCTTTTCTCCCAAATGCCAAATGTGAGTTGGAGAAGCCGACGGCGAGTCTTACGCTTCAGAGCGTCAGCTATCGGTCGGTACAGTAGCGCCTGATGACGTCGCCGGCCCACGTAACTTCTCCACAGCGTAAATGTCTGATGTAATACTAATCGCAAGCGCCATTGTTGCATTGCTTTCACCAGTAAACGTTGTCGACTCACCTTCGCGATTTTGACTGTCAGTGCACGGTCTCGCTTCTTGACGAGAGCATATCGACCGAGCTGGTTCAATGAACGCTTGAGCAGCCAGTAGTACAAGAAGAAGTAGGCTCGCTGCTGCAAAACATCGTGCTCTTTTTTCACTCTCACAAACCCATGCCAACGTCGAATGGCGTGCAACGAACGAACCTGCTTTACCCCATTGGTACACACCGCAGACTTCTCTGTCCTATTTTTTATTACAAGCTTCAACCTCTGCATAAGAATAAGAACACAATACAATATTAATTAGGCCTGCCATAGACGAACGGTCATTAGCCCACACGATCATATCTTCGTACCTTCAAATACTGCCGCTTTCTCAGCAAAATAACAGTGTTGCTTCCATCTTGGTCACTGTCTGCGTCAGAAGACGCTATCGAAAGCTTTTCTTCTTTATTGAGATCGATGAATTCACCATTGTCGGCGTCTCCCTCCCGTCGTGATAGTCTCTCATCTTCTGCCTGCATATACTTCGTTTCCTCACGTCTTAGCTGACGTCTTTCGACCACAAAAGCTCTCCATCTTGTCCAGAATACTCGCTGACAGAAGATGGATCCCACACGACACGCAGCGGCGACTTGCTGCTTACAAAACGGACAACAATCAGGTGCGCCTTACACAGCGGTTTTAACCTTTTACTTACCTTTCGCCGCGCGCACTGCGCCTGCGCACGCCGTTGCCACGCATGGAATGCACCCAGGAGCAGTCTGTACCGATCGTGCTGCGTAGCCAGCTCTAATTGCGTCGATGGAGGCGTCGCGAGGGCATCATCGCCGTCGTCGAGCGCCGCAGTCGCCATGACAGCTGCTGAGCAGCGATTGGTTGAAAAGCTTTCAGTGTAGCCATTTCCGATTGTTGAAGTTGGGAATCTGATTATTTTTACTCTGCAACAATGTTGGGATTGCATTTTTATTTGTCATATTCATTTGTAATTGCGAACGCTAACCGTTGTCTTTCACAAGAACAACAAGAATAGGGTGTGAGTTTGCTTGTCCAGCAGCTAAAACAAGTTGGCCAACAATAGTGCTCATGCAGTCATCTAGACCTGGTCTGTCGGTATCCACAACTGGCTCGTGCGCTCTACTAGCTTCTAGCGACTCAGCAAGGCGATTAATGAGATGCGTGGAGCTTCTACAGTCGACTCCAGGGTGTGGCCTCCTCCTTCTAGACGTTTTTCTATCCACGAGGAGGCTTCACAAGGGGATTCCCCAAAGCCGGCATCGATTCGACCGCCATCTGCGTTGATGTCCACTGGCCATCTTTTGATCCACGACGATCTAGTGTCTACCGATTCGAATGAACCCCGAGATGTTTCCCCAAGAGCAACAGGAAGGCCGTCGATATCTCGACTCAGTGGGCGCTTTCCGGTCGTTGATGTAGGAATGACAGATGAGCTCTCGGTGATGACCTCAAGAATGAGCAATCACTCACCACTTCCGCGGCAGTTTAGTGCTCGTATTCAACCGCAGGATATTGAGACGCCCATCTCAATCATGCTAGAATCGCCTACGAGAAACGGTAGTCGACATTCATCCGCTACCCATCTTGGTGGTCGACTTCAAGTGCATGATGATCCGACGTCTACCACCACACAAGAGATCCCGCTTGTATCACCACGTAAAAGTCGGCCATCTTCTCCGTGTCAGGAGACAAATGATATTGTCCGTGTACGTAAGGATCTACCCGCCAACAAGCTCGAGCAGCCAATTAGAAATACCCCGCAAAGCATCGATATACCTGCCATCAAGCTCGAACAACCGGTCAGGAAAATTCCACTTTCACCAATCCGGCAGCTTAGCGAACGCATTAAACTTCATGATGACGGAGCGCTTGCTAACAGGCCGACTTTAGTGATTCGGCAGCCCAGTGATCGCTTACAGATTCATCGCGATGGTACGGTAACAACAAAGAGGAATTCAGCCGGTATCAAAACAATAGAGGCTGTGTCAATTGCCACAGAGGCGAAAACCGCGCGGGACTCCAGTGATCATGATGTTATCGGTGATGAGCATCATGAGGCTCTGCATTCTGAAAACACTCGCGAGAGTAATTCCAGTAGTCCAGACGTACCATCATCATCATCTACAGCACGATTTGTACCATTGCACAACCAGTGGACCTATGGTCAGCCTGTTTTCGGACGATACAAGAAGACGCCGTACTTTTACTCAGGTAATATCGCCACATATCTAGGCGCTGGTATGTTCATGGTTGTATTCGACGATGGCACACTAGATTATCGTCTTCGTCGAGAAGATATTATGCTGCGGTACCACCCATCAATAGTTTCACCATCAAATAATCAGACGAGAAAGCGCCGTGATAATCAAGGTGAAGACAATTCTTCAAAGAGGAGGGATAGTGAATCGACCAGTCTAAGTGGATCGGGGGAGGAGAATGTTATTAGCACAAAAGCAGGGAGACAGTCAAGACAAACGCAGGATGAAGAGAGGGAAGACTATTATTCAGATCCGTCGGAAGCACCTGAGATGTATTTACCCCCATTGCAACATGTAATGGTGGACTTCTCCGTCACTCCACCCAGAGAAATGGTACTGAGCTTTGACGATAGTGGCATCGCTTACGAAATTGGGCTACCTTCTTGCAGTGTTGTTAGTGCAGTAAATGAGAATTGGCGTCTTCTTCTAGACGATGAAGCTCTGACTATGAAGCGTCTCGAGTGTGGAGTGGCCTACGAGGATGATTCAACTCAAGTTAGTGATTCAGACGATTCAAGCGATGAAGACATGACGATGACACCATGGCAGCAAATGACACAGACTTTTGGTATGGGCAAAGCTGCACGAACCCAGCGACGACGATCAAGTGTTTCATCGGTTTCTCAGATCGATCGACTACCGGTAACACACAATGGTAGGAAGCCCCCACAAAGAAGTCTCAAGCAGGTAATTACCGAGTATTTCCTTCGTGGGACCAAAAAGGTGCAGCCTAGCAAACCCACGGATGAACTTGTATTGGCCGAACATGTGCGGTTAATGGGGGCAAAGCTTCATACTATGCGGTCGACTCAATGTAGTTCAAGCTCACCGACCACATCTCTTATAGCCAAAGGCCAATCTAGCCTTCGAGTTGTATATGAACGAGCTCCTGACGGGATTCGTGCGTACGGTACGGTCACAGAACAAGTCGAAGACGGAAGCTACGCCGTCGTGACGGAAGATGAAGATGGTATTTCGGCTCAGGTGGTGCCGCAAGACAAGGTGGACTTCTTGCCATCCGTGGATGAACTGGAGCAACAATTAACAGACCTCGAACGATCACAACGTGTGCTCTTTGTTGGCCAAAAAGTTCAAGTTTCGTTGTATCCGGGAAGCCGATTCTCCGGTCATGGACTCATTACGTTGGAGCGAGAGCATCAGTCTCGTTTCCATGTTTTACTCGCCAACCGTATTCGACTAGTGAATGTTCCGGCAGATAAGATCAGCCCTCTACGAGAGAAGAAGAAAGCTGCAGTTACTATCACGGAAGACCAATTTCTCGTTTGCAGTGACAAGGTTAAAGTGTACATTGGCGATCAGATCTATGTGAAATGTTCGGCTGGCAATGGTGATCTCGACAATACAAGCGAGGAAGAGAAACTTGGGCTTCTAAATGGAGTTTATTCCAACAAAACTGCAGCTGTAGATTTCGCTGACGGCTCGACTGGTTATGAGATCCCTCCACATCTTATCTTTAAACGCAAGCGCTTAAGTATTCCAGCAGATCAAGACGTGAGATCTCTTAAGAATGCTGTACTGATGCAAGCCTCTGCTGCGGCGCAAGGCGGAGGAAAAGAGTCTTTTCCGGTGCTGGAGGAAGGATACCAGGTTAAAGCTGATCATCCGAGTAAGGCCACTGTGGAAAGTTGTATCGTGATTAAAACCCACGCTTCTTCGGCGTGTGACCTCCGTTTTTCCGATGGTACCATCGCATTCGAGGTGTTCCCGTCACAAATGATCCTTGACAGCGTCGAGCAGCAGCGTAGACAAACAAAGTCTACTGCCAATATAGTCAAAGAAAACTCAAGTCGAGCACGCAAGACACCGATTTATGCAGTGGGAGACTACGTGCTTGCATGGAGTTCACGGTTTGGACGATATTGTTCTGCCAAAATCACTGCCAGAACTTCTCAAGACCCTACCAGTGCTCCAGAATCTGGTGCTGGATCACCGGTGCATGCGTCGACGTACATATATACCCTGGTGTTCGACTATGGCGAGCAGAAAGCACACTTGCCGCCCGATAAGATCACACGTTTGGATGATACTACTGCGCTCTCCCATTCTCAACGATTGACTAACTACAGCATTGATACTATGGGGTTTGAGCTATCACCTGTAATTTTCATTGTCGGAGAGGCCGTAATGGGTCGGGTCCATGGTACTGCTCGATACTTTAATGGTGTTGTCGAAGCTGTTAACGAGAAGGAGAGAGTCTGTGCGGTGTGCTTCGACTCGTCCGAGCGAGACACTGTTGTACCCTTCTCGGCAATGTTCTCGGTCGATCCACGGCCACACCTCAAAGGCAGAAGCTCAAGTACTAGGCAAGTAGGTAGCTCGTCTTCGGATGCCACTTCACGAGCACGATTCCTTGCACGCCAACAGGAAGACATGATACTACCCTCAGAAGCAAGCACACGACGACGACGGAACAGCAGTGGATCGGTTGGCACCATGCTCAAGTCCATGGCCGGAAGCATCCTTCGAAGCTCGCGGTCGAAACGGAATCTTGACACGCGTCGAGGCTCGCACATGATCACCGAAATTGGTGCTCGTCTCCGGCTTACAGAGCAATAGTGTTGAAGAATTTATTCGTAATTTTCAAGGTCGAATGTAAATTACCAGTAAAGCATCAAAAGTTATACAACCCACTTACTATTAGAAATAAACGGCTTCACTGCTTCTCTGTGATTTCCTGCTTGGGGATGGCTGTCGTCCTTCGTTGCTGGACAATATTCACAAGACGATACCAGGATGACCATAATGACAAATTGCCTAAATCCCGTAGCAGTTGATCACTTGGCCGCGAAAATGATACCCATAAGGGCGATGAAGACGAGCAGTGCGAAGATGGCGATACAAATGAGCTTCATCTTTGAGCATGCGCAGCAGTTCCTGCGCTCTTCCGCCTGCTTCACCTGCTCCAGAGCCTTCTCCACGTTGTCCTTGGCTGTGTCCGTGTTTTCCACAATCTCCACCACCATTTCTCCCTGGTCTTGCACAAGACCGTCGATCTCCTGGAAGGCAGCGTTCACCTCACGTAGCTGATGGTTGATCTGGATAATGTCCTCCTCTCTCCGCTGCAGATCTGCACCACAAAATCAACATCAGTCAGATACGTCACACCGGAAAAATAGCATCAGCAGGATATACACACCGTCTTCGTCGTAGACGATAACGTTGGCTTGTGCGTAGATCTGATCCTCGCTGTAGTTGGTAAACTCGGCTCCACCGCGCGTCTGGCGGCCGTCGCCACCCTTAAAACTTTGCGATGAGCGGCGGATAAATTCAACCGACTGCCGCTCCGAGTCAAGCAGGCGCTCACACGTCTCCTCGAACACGCGCACCTGGTTTTTGAAATCCGCGGAAAGTTTGTTGATCTGCGTGCGTCGTGCGCGGCCAGCAGCGCCCTTGGCTCCGCGGTTAAGCTCCTGCAGACGGCGGTTAATCTTCGCAACGAGCTTGTTTCCCTTCTCTGTCAGCTCTTTGATCTGCACGTGGTTGGAGCGCGAGTCCTGCGGTGTACCGAACAGCGACATCTTCTGCGCGATGCTGCGCGTGAGCTGGTTGAAGGTCGAGATGCCCTTGCTCGTCTCCGTCACGAGCTTGCCGAAACGCTCGTCTGACACGCCGCCGCTGCTGTTGCGCGGGGACTGCGCGCTACGGTACCGGTCACCCATGGCTAGCTAAAAGGATGGAGAAGAGGAGGAGGTGGTCGGTCCGAGCACTATAGCGTCGGAAGCGCAAGAGCGAGAGTGACGGCGACAGACGCTGGACTCGACCACAATCCAGCCAGTTTTAAATTGCAAAGCATGGGGCGGTGCCACCACTTGAGAAAGTTGATAATGAAAAGATGTTGTATAGGAGGTAGCATAATACAAGGGGTGTTTGAGCAGGAAATGTATGTAGATAGAAAGAGATAGAAATTCGTTCAACCCTTTTTAAGATGATGTTACTCACAGCTTGCAGGTAAAGTCGCTGCTTGGGGAACAGCGCGCATGAAATATCGTCTTGTGGCCGCGGCGGCGTGGGTGCCTATTGTGAAGCTGAAATTTACATGACCTCAACAGCTCAACGCGAGCAAACGCATTGCTTTTCCAACTACATGATAGGGATGTCGGCGTTCGAAGCTGCATCGACTATTGCATTGGTAATGGCAAGTTGCATTGACACTCGCGTGTCAATGAAAGCTTGTCATTCCTTCAAAGTGCAACTTCTCATTATCGGATGGATGTAAGCCGCTGTGCCAGTTGGTCGATGTCCACGGGATCATGTTGAAGCCCGACAGTTGGCGGGTCATGTTGACATCTGCAAGACTTATCTGGACGCTGCGCCGGGCGAACATACATGTATCCGATCGCCTCGGGATCGTCATGTGGCAGCGGCAATTTGGTGCTTCGCGGCTGACGAGCAAGCAGGCGACAAACACTCCTGTCTCTTTCCACGGCAACGATCGCGACGATGCTGTCCTCCGCCGTCGTGCCGTCGCCAAAAGATACCTTGCGAGACGACAGCTGAAACAATTAGTGAAAGGATGGTGCCACGTAGCCTACGGCATTAGACGGCGATGGCGGCGACCAAGGCCGACCGATGATGGTCAATAACGCCAGTTGAAGCGGTGCATCGTCTCCCGTTCTCAGTGAATCCACCGTTCGCTTCAGGACGACTCAACCACAACTCCTGCTTCAGGCGGCACCCTACCCAGCTCCCGTGGCGAATCTATGAGACCGATCATCCCTCCAGCGTGGAGTTCTCGACATCTGCCTACATCCCCGCGCGCACCCTGCAAGATCGCCACTCTTGTCCGCGGCAACTGCGACCGTACCTGTTCCACCAATCGACGGACTGTGTTTCTCTCGTTTTGGCCAATTGCAAGCAATGGGTTAGACGTTGGGGTTTCCCAATTAAGTGCGACCCGCGAACCTGTTCTTCGCAACCGAAGAAAAACTTCCAGAAGACCCCAATTTCGCAACCGTCTTTTCAACAACAAGGTTTATTTTTAAAAGGTTGTTCAATAAGGGGGATCATGCGAGCTTCTCCCCCTCGCTCCCCCTTTGCTGCTGTCATTTTCCTTTCGGAAGCAGCAGAGCGGAGTCGAAGCGGAGAGGAGAAGGAGCAAAAGTAAACATGGCTTTAAAGCGGATCAACAAGGAGCTGCAGGATCTGGGCCGCGACCCACCCGCTAACTGCAGTGCTGGCCCCGTGGGCGATGACCTGTTCCACTGGCAGGCGACCATCATGGGCCCCGAGGACAGCCCGTACGCCGGCGGTGTGTACTTCCTGAACATCTACTTCCCGGCCGACTACCCGTTCAAGCCGCCTAAGGTGAACTTCACGACGCGTATCTACCACTGCAACATCAACGCCAACGGCGGCATCTGCCTGGATATCCTAAAGGACCAGTGGAGCCCTGCGTTGACTATCTCGAAGGTGCTGCTATCGATCTGCTCGCTGCTCACGGACGCCAACCCGGACGACCCGCTCGTGCCCGAAATCGCGCAAATTTATAGAACAGACCGCGCGCGTCACGACGCTACTGCTCGCGAATGGACCGCCAAGTACGCCACTTAGAGCACGCTAGGAGTAGGAGATCTTCGGCCTGTCCACGTGGCAGCATAGCTACTACACGCAGCAGGATGTTTCGTCTGAGCTGATACTTCATAGTGTTAGTTGCTGCTGTGCGAAAGGACGTGGTGAACGAGGACAGTCGGTAAAGCAGCAGGAAAGTGCAAGCAAAATCTCAAGTTTGTTTTGTTTTTCATGCTGAGTCGGGCCGTTGGTTGTTTCTGGTGTTTTTCTTTTGCTTTCGCTATGTCTTGAAGGGGATTATTGCAGGCCTTGATTTCCTTTGTCTGTTTGTCCGTGTTGTACGCCGCGTGGTTTCAACTCTTGAATCACTGGTGCCTCTAACTCATCTTGATCACCTGCTAGGGTATGCCGCTAACATGAGCGATATGAGCGTTATAATGCTCGAACATTTTACCAACATCTTCACCACAAAACACACACTTGTTGCCGTGGTCTAGTGTCCTGATTCATGAAGACCTACAGGCTGTAGGCTACAGCGCGTCTGGTAAAGCTCCGCATTTGTTATTGTGATTATTCCGCGGTATTTGCTGAAAATAGCAATTTTTCCAAAGCGAATTTCGAAACATTCCATTTCACTTTTTCACTAATGGTGGACTTGTTGTGCAGCTGGTGTCGCGCGGAGCGCTGGCTGTATAAATGCTCGACGTGCGACCCGCGCAAGGAGAAGACGCTCTGCTCTAAGTGCTCCATGTTGTGGCATTCGCGTGGCTTCGGACGCAGCCACCAGCTCACGAGCAGCTACGGAGAGACCCGCTCTTTTCTCGCCTGGGGGTCTCCGCGGCCGAATGGCGTAGCCAATAACATTAGCAGTGCTTCAGCAGAGACGAAACTTGATGAGAATAGAGATGGCGTTATCGCTAATGGAGATCGAGCTCAAAAAGTGATTGCTAATGATGTGGAAGATACAAAGCCAGCAGCTACGAAGCCGGAAGAGACGAGGCCGGAGGGTGCAGCTACCACTACCGAAAAGGAGGAATCAAGGCAAGACAGAGAAGAAAAGGGAAACACAAGTGTGGAAGAGAACTACGAGTTTGAAGTGATGGGCGAGTCAGTGAGCAGTGGAGAAGACACAGACATGACGAGCGTTGAACAGGACGGCAAACTGGAAGAGACAAAAGACTCATCTGCGGAAGAAACACCAGTGACGACGGCAAATTCTGCATCAGCGCTAGTTCCAACGACGGAGAATGCAGCTCCGAGAGTGGATAATCAATCAATACTGAGTGTAGACGAAGAAAAGAAGAAGTCACTGTCTTCATCGCAAGCTTCAACTCCTCCAGCTTCTACTTCAACGTCGAATACGTCAAATCCCGCAGCGGAAGCTTCGTCTGTGTCCTCAACTGCACCACCAGCGTCAGCCCATGCTCCGAGTTCTGCTCGCGCTGCGCCTTCAACTGCCGTATCTTCTGTATCTGGTTCAGCTCTAACGCCAGCTCCACCTTCATCAGCCTCAGCTATCAATCAGCCGACTACTGCTGCTGCTACACAGTCACGTACGTGGCCAACTCCCCAGTCCAAACGTGTAGATCTGGAAAAACTGCTGCGGTGGTTTCCTACAACTGATCACGTGCTGGTGGAAATGTTGGCAACTCGAATCGAAGCTACTCTTGCCATCGAGGATGCACTCATATGCGCAAGAATCGGGAAATGCGAAGAACAAACGTGTCGATCTATTCTCCTACACTACGAGCATTGCAAACGCGATGAAATCTGTAGCGACCCGAAGTGCACAGAGATATCGATCATCTACCGACATCGACGTGCTTGTTCAGCAAAGGACACTGCGCCTACGAGTGATGGTAAAATGTCTGTATGTCCGTTTTGTATTCGTATTCGGCAAAGACGGACACTGGGCGTATGTGCAGCGTTTGATCATCTAATTAATGACCAACGCCGCGCAATGCAAGGTGCGCACAGTGAAGCAGCCCGAAACTTCTGCTTGCAGAGTATTAACAGGTGGACCGAGCGCAAGCAGCCCCTTCGCGCGGAAAGCGACCGACTCAATCAACTGGCCAGAGAAAGCAGCGCTCCGATTTTTAATTTCCCCAGATACAAGTGGCATTTCAGTGATAACGTGTTTATCAAGCGAGAACCAACACCTCTGGAAGAGAACGAAGGCGCTACAAGTGAGCAATCTGCAGCGGTCCCATCAGCAAATGGCAGCAATGTAACTCGAGTGGCTGAGCAATTTTCCGAGACTCACACTAACAGTGACAACAGCCATACACCAGGTAATATGCAAACAATTTATGCCGGATTTTCGTGCGCTAATACAAACCTGTCTGTGTTTTAGATGAGAGAAACACACAGAAGTCACAGGATAGGCTAGAAGACAGCATCCCTGGGACCGCCAACTTCAACGCGGATTTCATTAATCAACTTTTACGAGCCAAGTTAGAGAGAGAAAAAACAGAGATGGCACAGCGGGAGTTTGATGGAGTTATGCAGCTCGGTTATGCCATTGTGGACGCGTCATTTTGTGCACCTTCCAAAGCACAGCGGTGTTTACTGAATTGCAAGTCCATTCTTGATCACTTGCAGCATCACTTGGATCTACAAGTGTGCAATAAGCCAATGTGTGGAGCTGTGGAGCACCATTTTGCGCATTTGTCGGAGTGCAAAGCCCGTGACGAAAGTGAATCTTGCGAATACTGCTTGAGAATGGAAGAGCGTCGGTTGATCCGCGCCGTCGATTTCATGGAGGTGGAGCAACCCGAAGCAGAAGCAAAAGTTCAGAAGATCATTAACGAGATCACAGCTTCCTTCACAAACCATCGTCCTGATGAACGCGAGCAGGAGATGATCCAGCTGGAGGATGAATTAGATCAAGCGGAGAGTAACAAGCAAGAACTGCTGGAGAAGCTCGGGGCTAGACGGAATGAACTCCGACAAGTGCGCAGAAGCATGGAGAGTCGTGGCATCTCTGCATCAAACAGCCGTCAACTCCCAGTGCACTTCACTAAAACTCGGCGCTCTGAAGGATCAGGAGGCAACAAAAAGCGGCGTCTCGCAGACGCAGGATCAAGTAGCTAATGGTGGTAGAAGGAACACTCAATGTCAGATTAACGTTATCCCCACGCTATGCATCGACATGGCCTGGAAAGCATCGTCTTTCGCTGGGGTAACTTCAGTTGCAGCTATCGGAATGGTAGAGATTAGAAGCTGTTGCAGCACCAGCTGGACTGGTTTGCATTGCCTCCGTTGGCAGCACTTGTTGGACGGAAGGTGTCGTTGCGCTTCTTGGCTTCTGACTTCCGCTCGAAAATGTCCTTGTGTTGGAGAATGCCCGTCACCAGCGCCTTGGCGGCGTCGTCGATGTGAATGTTTTCCTTAGCTGAAGTGTCGAACCAGCCCGTAAAGTTGTTCGTATTGCAGAACTCGTCCAAAAACTCCCGATCAACATATTCCTTCAGGTCGCACTATAAAGCAAACTATTGTCAATAACTCCATTCTTTGGTCTTGCTCTCATCACTCGCGTGATCTCACCTTGTTGCCACACAGAATGACCGGCAGCGTCTTGCCGTTCGGGAGTTCCACCTTGGAGTCGATCTCCTTCTTCCACTGCAACAACGACATTAAATATCTAAGTACACATACTTCACAGCAGCACAAGCATCCGACTGTCTGTACCTTCAGGATGCTGTCAAACGTCTCGGGGCGAGACATATCGTACACCAGCAGCGCTCCCAGGGCGTCCTTGTAGTACACTCGGTTGAGTGCACGAAAGTGCTCCTGGCCAGCGATGTCCCATAGCTGCAAGCGCACAGTCGTGCCACTAACGGTCACCGCCTTAAGCGCAAAGTCCACGCCGATTGTAGTGCGGTGGTGCTCCGAGAAGGCGTCGTGTACGTATCTACATTGGGAGCAGTCAATATCCCTGATTATCGGAAGACAAAGAGACCAAGCAACGCACCGCTTGATGATGCTCGTCTTGCCCGTTGCGGCGTCGCCCAGCACCAACACCTTGATGACCGCGTCCTGCGCAGCATTCACTCGACGCTCACTCATAGCAGCTCAACCCGTTGCTATCTGTCCACCTGGGAGAATAGGAATCAGAATTGCTCAAAAATGTGAATCCATTAACGTGTGCACCACATTATTTACGGAGTCAACATCACATACCTCTCTTAAGTGCGACATTGTTGCAGGAAGACACATCCCAAAGCCGAGCAGAGTGCGGTCAGTGATCGGCGCAGCGCTCCGCCCCTTGCACGCCCCGTTCTGTCATGAGCGATGATTTTGAGCGCGTCAACGTCCGCACGCGACCTCGACGGCGCAGTCGCAGCAGCGGCGCCGTCTTAAACACCCCCGTTACTGCATCACCCGCTGAATCCACACCCACCCCGAACACCGGTATCAGCAACGGAGAGCGGACGCTACTGCCCAGTGACGTCATGGAGCTTCGACGCAGCGCTTCAGCAGATCACGTGGTGGGTTCTGGAAGACGTCTCAGTCGCTCAGGCTTTAATCCGTTCAGCCAGAGCGGGGGTTTGAGCTCTTCCTTCCGTCTAAACAGCGCAGGCTCGAGTTTCCGCGCCGGTGCAGGTGTTCCAGTATCGTCTTCGGCTCTCCGTAGCCACGCGAGCTTCTTGATGATGGATATTGATTCAGCCAGACAGTCGGTGGACGCTCATACTCGAGCCTTGAGCTTTGATGATGAAGACGTGATGTCGGACGGTGGAAGACTTACTAGGAACATGCTGGGAGACTCAACGAGTGGGAGCACTGGTTCTGAGAGATACAGAAGAGCATGTACGTTGAAGATGTGGACAGTAGAAAGCCTGTGGACTGATTTTTAAGGTTATTTCTTTTTTATTTAGCGTCGTTGGATTCGAGTCCGCCATTGCCACCGGATAGCACCATATCGGCCGAGGAGGTGATTCGAGAGAGTATGGCAAGTGCACTGAGCTCGTCATTGTATACAGACAAAGACGAGTTTTTATTGCCACATCAACGACGGTCGAACGCTGTGGGTGGGAACCTGAATTTGAGTATGGCTGGGACAGTAAGCGAGCGAGACTCACTGGCCATGTCGAGACATTCGCGCGACAGTTTAGCATTTTCATTTTCAAGTCGAAGCACGTTCAGGAGGAGTACGATATCAGAGCAGATGCTGTACGAGACGGACTTATTTGAACCGGAACGTGAACTGAGTGCAAGGGAATTGTCGGAGGTGCTGAGTGGATCGGACGAAGATGTCAATAGCTATGAAGTCACCAGCATAAAGGAGGAAGAGGAGGACGTCAAGCTTGAAAACGCCAAGTCTCGGTGGGCACAGCACGTCAAACTCAAGGCTCGGAGCTTTCTCTACTCTACAGTGGCAGGCAATAAAAATGGAGCTTCGGGTTCTAGCAATGGCGCGGTGACTTCGACAGCACCGACGTCAGCCGAGATTTGGGCGAACAAACAGAAGCAGATTCTTGCGCAAATGAGCAGTGGCAGTGGGTTTGGAGCCATCTCGGGCACCTCGTCGGCTGCATCTTCATCTTCAACACATCACCATTCAATTTTACCTCCTTTGCCATCCTTTGGACAGAACTCGAATGGTGGCGCCAAGTTTCAGAAGTGGAATCGATGGATGCACGACCAGTATCAGCACAATTTCGGCAAAGTAATGCAGCGTGCCTTCAAGGATGAGGTTTTACAGCGGCAGCAACAACAATTTGCTTTCCCAACGCACCAGCCAACACCAGACCCGACTGCACTTATTTCAATCGAGGAAGTTATCAGCAACCCGAGGATGATGCGCTACTATGCAGCGTGGTTACCTGATCCTGCAGACCAGAGTAAATTATTCTTCCTGTGTTCGTTTGAAGAATACCGGCAGTTTTGGTGTACGTTGCGTGCAAATTATCAGAAGAAACCTTTCGCGAAGGATGACGTGCTCATGTTACGCACGTACGGCGTCAAAATCGCGATGAAATACTTGGCGAAAAACGCGCAGTTTCCGATAAACGGTAGTGCTGATGCAGACGGTGGGAGTGACGAGCCTCCAATCGTGGACTCCAACAAGTTGCGGTCCATTAAACGCGATCTGGCGGCTGGAGGTGAAGATGCTTTACGCACTTTTGACGACGTTGCTGTGAAAGTTAAACGGGTGCTTATGTTCAAGTTTCCTGAGTTTCGCAAGACCGAGCTTTACGCGGAGATGCAGAAGACTGTGGAGCGTGAAGTCATATGCCTTGAAGACATCCTGATGAACCACCGTTTCGCCAATTTCTTCTGGATATTCCTTTTTCCGCACAATTATCATCGCGAAATTGCGCTGTGGCTAGATGTCGAGTATGAATTCAAGCCAGCCTTCCGCATTTACATGTCGCTGCTCAAGTCTAGTGGCAGCTCCAGAAGTGCCGCTTTATCGAGCAGTACCACTAATCAGCGTCGTGAGCGAATAGAGCAGGCTGCGTATCGCTGCCGAAGGTTGCTCAAGTATATTTCACAAAAGTATTACGCTGGGGACGCTGAGATGCAGACTTTATCACGCACACTGGTGACGTCCTGTGCTCGACTACAAGCCGAACAAGACGCCATTCTGACCAAGTTTAGCCTCATTCACTTGGAGTTGTATCATCGCTTCCTAACGAGTCGAGCTTACGCTGAGTTCGCGTTGTATCCGAAGCTGTCACCTGAAGACGAGAAGGACTCCATCGACGATTCCATGCGGCTATCAGCGCTACTTTTAAGCTACGGCTTACGTGCACATCATTGGGCTGGTGGTTCGAGCTCCTCGTCATCTAACGGGTCAACGTCGGCATCGTCATCCAATGCTCGCGATGAAACCTCAGCGCCAAAGAAGAAGTCTCTGGACTCGCTTCGTACTGCGCGAAGCTTTGAAGCCATCTCTGGTGTACTCACCTTTGACGCCGTAGCCGTCCTTGTAACAGCTGAAGAGGCAGAGAACGATACCGACGAAAATGGCAGCGGAGTGTTTGAAGACCCGATCGAGCTGCAGGTAGTACAACACCCATTGCCACATGATCCGACACCTCACGTCGTGGACAAATCTGTGGAGAATTTCCTCGTACCGTGGAGTGCAGACCCCAGGCATGTGGTACTTACAGCACCGTCCTGTCCAGCGCCGCTGGCGTTTAACTTTCGCATGGGTGACAGCAGTGCTGGCGCCTCAGCTGCTGAATTATTTGCAGCCTGTGTGGTTTTGTATAAGCCAGCTCCTCCACTATCTCGACGTGCTCTCGAGAGCTCGCGACTAGATTCTAAGAGTGGATGTCGATGGATCCCGTATGGAGTGTGCGTGTTGTCGAAGTTTCCGATGGTGGATCTGCTTCGAGAGCGTCTTGCGGAAGCGTACGAGTTTATTCTTGAGCTGGAGACGATCGCTGCAGCCAACAGCGACGGCAAAGAAACGATTCCTCATAATGGAGAGCATGGCTTTCAGCTTGACAAGAAGGTTCTAGCCAAGTTGACCCGTTCCGTGTCAAAGGAACACATCTCGCAGTATCACCAGCCATCACCGCTTCCGGAGTCACCGCTTCTTGAGGCGTCAGGGTTAACACCGAAAGCCACAGCCGCTTCGTTGCTTGCTGCGCTTCCGCGTCTGGATCACTCAGTGCGTCTCTTATTCGACACACTGGACGTCTCCACTGTTCTTCTTGTATTCACCGCAGCATTATTGGAGAACCGGATCCTGTTGGTGTCGTCATATCTGTCGGTGCTTATGAAGGTTGGCGAGTCCTTGCGAGCTCTAATGCACCCGTTGTCGTGGCCGCATGTGTATCTACCAGTGCTTCCTCGACGACTGCTGCAGTATCTCGAGTGTCCGACGCCCTTTATCTTTGGTGCTGAGAAGCAAGCGCTTGATGATGCCCAACGTCAGTTGATTGAGGAAGGTGGCGATGATCTTTTTGCTGGAGCTGGAGAGGAACTGTTAGTCGTGGACTTGGACAAGGGAGCTGTGCTACGTGGAGAAGTGCCCTGTGCTCTTCCAGACAGCGTACGGTTTGATCTGCGCGACGCATTGTACGAATGCCTCAAGCCGAACGTGAGTCGTAGTGACCATGTGTTTGCCCACCACTTCCCAAGCAAACCTCTGGTCTTTCCGGAGGTTGCAGTCCGTGGATTATTCCTCCGAGCTGTCAACAAACTCATTGGAGACTTCGGCTATCACCGCTATGTTTGGACGGACGAGTTTGCTCGTAAACGCACCGTCTTCTTCGATGAAGCCAGCTATCTTGCAGCCTCCACGCCCGAGATGCGTGAGTTCCGAACACTGTTTATCGCCACGCAAGCCTTCTCGGAATTTGCAGTGACGCATCATGGATTTGAGGAGCAGCCAGGTCAGAATTGCACGGGAGCTTCAAGGTCTTCTACGACGTCATCGTCATCCTCTGTATCATCGCTGCCGCGAAAATAAGCCTGGAGTATGTGTGAAAAATGATTCGTAGTGTGTTGTGCTTCCAGAAGGACGAAGGGGGAGCATAGAACTTATATGTACGTGATGTGACCGAAACAAATTTGATATTTACTGTCGACCTCTCTGCTTTTGTTGGATAGTATTCCTCAAGGACGACGGAGCACGGATGCCAGTAGAGTTGTGGCTGCTAGCAATCCAAAGACCGTGACAGGCGCTGTTAAAGCAGGCATCCACGCCTTCTTCGGCTCTGCAGCACTAACTGGCGTTGCGCTGGAAGCCTGTGGCTCATGTTGTCGGTAGCGTGCCATCTCCTTGTCAATGATGGTGTAGAGAATTGCTGCTACTCGGCGGCCACTGTGCTTGAGCATCGGTGCTTTCTTCCACTCACGCGTCACATGACCGGCTACAAGATCTTCTTGGAACGTTTGACCTTGAAGCAGCACGGGGTGTTTACTGGCTGCCATTTCATGGGTAGGCAGCAGCAACTCCTCACCGCGTTCCACATAAGGTGCAAGTACATCATCCGGTGGCTGGGTGTTGTTCGCGATGACATAGTCGATAGCATTCGCACCAAGATAAGTGGAAAGCACTTCCAGCGTCTTCTCCAACGTGTAGCCATCTGTCTGGCCGTTCTGCGTGGTCACGTTGCTCACGTATACGGTAGCCCCTGCACTGCGTGCGATAGCATCACGAATGCCAGGAACCAGTAGCGTAGCGATAATGGAAGTGTAGAAACCACCGGGACTCAGAATGATGATGTCGGCGTCCTCGATGGCACGCACTGCAGGCTGGAAGGCTTCAACATTCGGGTTCTCCAGGTACACACGGTTGATCGGCACTTTCTTGATCTTCTGTTCAGGTTTGGGAGGTGTTGCTGGTGGCGATCCACTTGAGCTGCTTGTTGATGAACTGGAGCCTGAATGAGGCTCTTCCTTTTCGTCTGGCATGAAGGGGCTACGTACATTAACCTCCGAGACAACAGTGGATCCATCAATGAGTTCGGCGCACAACTCGGTACTTTCGAGTGTGGCTGGTAGCACAGACCCATGGATGTTGAGAATGTCGGAGACTGACGAGATAGCGCGATCGAAACCACCTTGTAGATCAGTCAGCGCTGCCAGCAATAGGTTACCCAAGCTACACCCTTCCATGAAGTTATCACGGAATCGGTAGTTCATCAACTTGCTCAACAGTTCATCTACACAGACAGGAAAATATATCGTGAATACGTAGCGTACAATTCATAGAGATAATGCAGTACGAACCGGAGTCGGACAGTGCCACGAGACAATTGCGAATATCGCCGGGTGGAAGGATACCAAGGTACTTGCGAAGAGCACCAGAGTGGCGACCTGAGTCGAATACTACAAAGAAAGTGAGTAAGAATAAAATGGTTCACTCTGACGTAACTACAATACGAGTGCAAACCTGTGACGACAGCAGTGAGATCAGCAGGATAGTGGCGCAGTTCCTTGAGCAGCACAGCCAAACCTGTGCCTCCACCAATTGCCACAATTTTAGGCTGCAGCATCTGCTGGTCTGCCAGTTTAACAATCGGCACAAGCTGCTCGATCGACTCAATCTACAACAGAATACTGATGAGTATAATGAGTATAACCTGGTGCATAACTTCCTAGTTTACCTGGAAGTTTGGTTGTTCCATTTCGTCCGTAGGCATCACGCTCGTATACTTACCAAAGAGCTACAAAATACTCAAAATCAATAATAAAAAAAACTCCAAACTTTGTCATCTGCACGTACCATGCGGACAGTGAGCATTCCCACTGTATTCGCTGCCTTGATCTCGTAGAAGGCCTTGCGACCCACAAACATGACGGCAGACGACGGTACTTGCAATTGTCTCGCGAGCTGCTTCATTGCGCTCGTGACTTGCGCTAAGCTCGGATTGGGACTCACATAGACCACTTGATCAAACAGATCCTCCACACCTAGTGCCTTGAGTCGTTCGCGCTGCACTTCTGGCTTACCGATCAATAACAGCGCCAAGCGACAGGCACCGCCATCCTGAAGCTCCAGCAGCGTCTTGCGTACGCCCGGGAACGGCGTGATACTGCGCGCTTCAGGTACATTGCTCTCATAGTAAGCCTTGATGACGCGTTGGGCTTGAGTAGGCGTTAATTTGGCCTGTGGTCCACCCACGAGGCTGTCGACGAAGCGAGGGAAGCGTTTACGGAGTCCATAAGCGTTGCGGAAGGTTTGTAGTGCCTCAAAGGCAGTGGCGTTGGTCGGGAATGCACCTTCCTCAAGTAGTTGAGCCACGCCGCGATCAATCGCCAAGTGTGACAAAAGCTTTGAATGATCGTACAGTACGTCGTCCAGGATCATCGCTACGGCGCGTACGCGGCGACGACGTGGACGAGAAGATGTTGGAGGGTCATTGGGTACACGCATGCCGCTAGGAAGGCGATGCAGCGGGTGCTTCGAAGGAGTGCAAGTGGCGTCCGCCATAGTGTGGAAGCCGACCATTTGGAATGTAGAATGACCAAAAAGCAGGGAAAAAAAGGTCCTGTCTACAAAAATATTTTAAAAAAATTACATTAATTTTGGGTACGATGAAATAAATTCAAAAAAAGGACTTCCATAGAAAAAATGGTCATTGTTTTAGGTAATTCAGACAAAAAAACCATTAAAAATGTTAATGGGTTTTTTTCGTCTGAATGCCGGCCAATCAGACAAAACACAGTCTTTGCCGAGGGCAGAAGGACGCGTGTTTTTTGTTGTGTTCAAAAAAACACTCGTCGGTACGCATGCTGATTGGCTAGGATGACGGCCTATTAACTTAGTGCTTAAAACTCGTCGGTACGCATGCTGATTGGCCGGGATGGCAATCAGACAAAAAAAAACCTTAAAATTTTAATGGTTTTTTCGTCTGAATGCCATCCAGTAAACATCTTTTGCCATCGGCCAATCAGATCTCTCGAAATATTTTTTTCCTATTCTCGAATAGAAACGTTTCTATGGTCAAGTGTTAGTGCAGAATGTATGGCAGAATCTACCGACGCTGCAACATGGCCAACGCCATCTCTTCCTGGCTGGCGACAGCCTGGCGGTCGACGTTCTTCTTGTCACTCTCTTCTTCCTCACTACTGGCTTCTTCCTCACTGTCGCTCTCACTGCCACTGCTCATATCTTCATCGTCCGAGGCCACAGCAAGACGCGCGCCTTCGTCTTCGCTCTCGTCGTCGTCGCGCTCGCCCTTGATCTTCATGCGCTTCTTGTGGTGCTTAGCACGCACACGCTCCTTCTCCAGACGACGGTCCTCTTCGTCCTTAGCGGCAAGACGAGCGGCCACCTGTTCCGTGTAGTTCTTGGCGTGTTGCTCCACGTCCGCGAACTCCGTTTCCGCACTGCTACGCGCCGATAGACGGTCCGCGATCTTGGCGCTGTTGCCTTCCTCGTCGAAGACGATCTTGGACGCGTTGATGGCTTCACGGTCCACGCGCAACTTCTTCTGTTTCTTCGTAGTTGGGCCAAGTGAGTCCACGTCAAGCGGCTCATCGTCGTCCCAGTTGTGTACCCGCTTGACAACCATAAGTGAATCTTCTTCCTCCTCTTCTTCCTCCTCTTCTTTTCGTTTCTCCAGTTTTTTCTTGGCTTCTTCTTGTTCCTTTGGACCCAACGCCGCCAATTGCCGCGCCAACCGCTTGCGTTCCTTCTCCGCCTTAATTTTCTCCTTAAGTTGTTGCAACTTACGGTTGACATTTTTCTTACCGCGAAGTTCTTCACGTAAAGCTTCATTGCCTCCGTTCTCGTGTTCAGCCTTCATCTTGGACAAGAATGGCATCCGTGGAGCACCAGGAAGACCGAGAGACTCAGCGAACGCGTCTAGGGGGAGTGCTGTGGCATCGAACACCTCGCGATCGGGCTGTAAGTAAACAGAACGCACATAAGACATGAACGCCTTCTGTGCCAACGCCTTAATCTCCTTATCACCAGCCACAACAGACGCCACTTTTTGACGACAGCTCGTGGTCTTGGCTGGGTTGAGCTTCGTCTCCCGAATCGGCACCTTGGCGTCCTCCAGACGCTTCATCATACCGTCCACCTCCGACGGTACGAGACACATTAAAGCTTTACCTTGTTTGTTGTATCGCGCGGTACGACCGACACGGTGAATGTAGTTGGCTGCGTCTTCAGGACAGTCAAGCTGCAATACCCAGTCAACTTGAGGGAAATCTAGACCTCGTGCTGCAATATCCGTCGCAAAAAGCACTGCCGCTGGCTTGTTCAAGAACTCGTAGTACACTTCCACACGCTTGCCTTGCTTGTACTTGCCGTGTAGCGCACACAGCGGGATACCCGGCTGTAATTTACAGAAGACACTGTGCACGAAGCGCACTTGACGACATGTGGACAAGAAGACGATGGTTTTCTGTTTAAGATGAGACTTGATGAAGGACAGCAGCACGTCCAGCTTGCGCTCCAGCGGCGTCACCACGTAGCTCTGTTGTAGGCCCTTAGGAGTGGCGTTGGCGGAGTGTTCGTGCACCGCGACGTACTCTGGCTCGCGCAGACTCAGCGCTGCCAGATCCTTGACAGATTTGGTCTGCGTAGCTGAGAACAGCATTGTCTGGCGCTCTCCTGCGGGTGGTAGATGTTCTAGAATGGACGTTAACTGTTTCTGGAAGCCTAGATCCAGGATTCTGTCGGCTTCGTCCAGTACAAGCACCTGTAGATTGCTAGCATCGAAGGCGGGTGTCTGTTCCATGTGCTGTAGCAGTCTACCGGGCGTACAAACCAGCAGGTTCATCCGCACAAGTCGGAGCTGTTCCTCGCGGAAGTTCTTGCCGCCGATGACCAGACCGGCCGAGAACGCGTGCGCCTTGCCCACGTTACGCAACACCTCGAAGATCTGTAGTGCTAGTTCTCGTGTGGGTGAAATGACGAGAGCTCCCAATCCGTCCTCCACACTCCAACGGAGACGGAAGAGCTTCTCAAGTACTGGAAGCAGAAAGGCCAATGTCTTGCCTGAACCTGTTTTAGCCGCTGCGAGGACATCGCGTCCAGCTAGCGCGTGCGGCAGTGCGCCGACTTGGATCTTGGTGGGTGCAGTGAAGCCGCAGGTCCTCAGACCGCGGCGCGAAGCTTCAGATAGCGGGAACAGGTCAAAACTGGCTGCCTCGCCGAGCTGCGAGCCGCGCGCAGGTGTCTGCTCCGCGATACGCGCCTCTAGCTTCTCGATCTCGAGACGCTCGCGCTCATTTTGCTTAAGTTTAGCGGTGTCAGATGCGACAGCAGCTTCTTCATCTTGCACCGGAGGATTCGGCCGGCCGTGGGCCTGGCGGAACGCACGTGAAGCCATGACGTTGAGAATGGAGCTCTTCGAATGGCTGGGTGTCGATTGACCTTCAATTGTAAGTTGCTCTAATCATATCAGCAACATAAAGGAATGGCTACATTCATTTTTTTTAAAGGAAGAAATTTGCAAAACCGTACCATTTTTGTGGTACATTCAAAAATATGACGAATTTTTAAATAAAAAGTACTTTGTATTAAAAAGTGCGCATTGGTTTCGGACCCCTTTTGATCTTTTTTTTTTTATTATGGAGGGCCACAAGCAGAGGTTGAATGTAATCCGCCAACCAGTAGAAAAAAGTACTACAGCAATAGTACTTTTACTGGAACAAACAGTAGTTTGAATAGAATCTAAGTTACTGTTGTTCCAGTAGACAGTAATCAATCTTGAAGCTAGAAAGTACTTTTTTCAACTGCTTGAAATCCAGAAACGCACCTGCCCACTTTCGCTTTAGATCACCGCTGTGGGTGGTGTCGGGGCGAGGGACAAGAACCTGCGGTCTTCATAGCGTGCGGGTTCCCCAAGTTTCCACGCTTCACGTCGAGTTCATGCCCTGGGCGACGTCAAAGTAGCACGATGCGGGGCTATTTGTGCTGGTGGAGGTTCTGCGGTCATACAAGAGCTGCTTTCTGCGGCATTAAAACTTTCTGCATAACGAATCCTGGTGGCTGCTGTGAAGCTTGGACACCCATTTTCCAAGTTTCTACCTGACCAGAAGCAAACCAAGTCTGCAGTACCCTCATGAAGTGCGCCTTCGTGGACTGTATAAACCCCAAGCTCTCGACGTTGTACCCGTGTACTGTATGCGAGCGTCAGGTCCATCACTTGTGTTCAAATGATTTGTTCGACCCGGAGAACATTGCGGTGCAGTAAGTAACTTTATATTCACTGCACTAACGGCTAGTTCTAGTTTCTGTAGCGTGCAGTGCGTGTCCAGCTGGAAGGCACACCCTGGAGAGAAGTCAGTGTATGACGACCCAGATGCGTTCGAGATCGTCGGGCCTGGCCAGTCGCGCAGGCGGCTTGCCAGTCAAGACTCTGAATCCACCATCGCGGAGTCGGAAGACAGTGGTTGCAGTCAATCGTCCGTCGATTTTGACAAGTGACAGTCGTGTGCGGGTGGACACCTACGGCATCCCAGTGAAGGTTCATCACTACCGCCAGCTTGGGAAGCGAGATGATGTCCGGGACATCGCCCACGTGTTGTCGTCGCCGTATGCGACTGGAGATGACGATGACGCTGAGTGCTTCACACACATGCGTGTGCTCTGCGCACTAAGGTTGACTAGCCACCGTAATGCCTCGGAGGACGCATGGGAAGGCGCACTACGGAAGTTTAACCACACCTCGAACGTCAAGGACCACTTAGTGGCGAAACACAGCTCGCACCCGATCGGCAAAGCGGAGGCGACCAAGCGAGTCAAGCGAGTGCGTCGACAACTCGAGGACGCGTTTAGCCAAGTGCCTGGCTCGATGACAACCGACATGACCAGCGTTGACCACTCTACAAAGGGATCAATGAAACAGGGAGCGCTGAAAAAGCTGTGGGGTCCGTCGAACATGCAGCTCAGAGCATATATTGCCAAGTGGCTGATCAACGACGGTAAGCATATCACTGTTACG